TGCTGTGAACCTTGTTTTTGAATATAGGACTTTCTTTGTAGGACTCTTAAGAATGTTAGAGTCAATCTATATAGATCACTTATCATAGTGTTTGGTACCTAGTAGCTGCTCAATAAAAGGTAGCCTTTGGAAGACCTTTTATTTTAGCTCAAATAATAAGTTGTATGCCTAGAAGTTTCTTTCCTTTAGTTCCTTGCCCACTACTGATTTCTCTAATAGTCCTTTTCCAAGTAAGGACTGCACCATGTTCTGAGAAGGGGAAGTCTCAGGACAGAATAGCACATTGCTTCTCATTACATTTTGATTGAAAAAAAAGTTTGAGCATCTTGTGTCTTTTGCCTTAATATTGTAATTTTATAGGGCTGAGGAGGCTTTTTTTTTGAAATGAAGGAAGAAAGACAGGAACAATAATTTCACAAAATAATTAATTTGCTTGACTTTTATAAATTATTTTCCCTGTAATTACATCTTTTCCTTGCTTCTTAACAGAGGAAAGACTCAGCCACTTCCAGAAAAACAAAACCACAGACTCTTCCTTCTTTGTAATGCTGTTACCTATCCTGTGTATTTTTTGCTCCATTCCTAGGCGATTTCTACTACATCACATCCTGAAAGTGACTCTTAAGTTTGCCTTAAAAAAACAAAGACCGTGTGACACTTGTGTTACCTCACAGGTTTGGGCATTTCAAGGCTGTTTTTCAGAATGTTTGTTTCCCTGACCACCATGCCTGCAGTGTGGGAAGACTGCCATGTAGATGTTGGCTGATAGGTTGGCTTCGTTTATTAGTTATTTGTTGAGATACTTGTTCACTCACCGTGTACTGCGTTCTCTGAGATCAGGGGTCAACCCTTATTCTGCTGGGAGCATAGAGCCTGACACCAAAAGTACCCAGGAGGGAAAAGAAGACGAATGAAAGAATAGACTGAGCAAATGGAATCTGTTGTATTCAGAAGGTTGTTAGAGAAAGGCTTATTGGGATGTGTGTATGTGGGGGGTCTTGCTACTTGCTGGTGACTAGGGATTTTTCAAAAAGTGTGAGAAACATTCACAAGAAACCAGCAATCCTTTTGTGAGATGATAGGGCAGTGCTTTATACTGTGGGAAAAAGATTTGTGATTTTGCTGAGTCCAAAATAGGATCTTTGGGTATTAAAAAAGGTTTTGTCTTTTGTTGAGCCTTTTTTGAAGTGAGGAAGTGTAGGAGTCATCTTGGATGAGGCGTGGCTTTATCTGGGCCATGAAGGGTGAGGAACATTTATGCAGGTGGAAAAGTGAAATTTATGCAGGTGGAAATCAGTGAAAGTGTTCCTGGTAGTGCACAAGTTGAAAGGAACCTATAAGCCCATACGTGTGAAGGACACCTTAAAGAGGGGTAGGAAGTGAGTTTTTAAAATGTCGCGACAGACTTGGACAGATCTGTCTCCAAAGAGAATCATAAATGGCCGGTGATCACATGGAAAGACGCTCAGTATCACTAGCCGTTAGGAAAATGCAAATCAAAACCAAAAAGAGATACCACTTCACCCCCGTTAGGAGGGCTGTTATAAAACCAACAAATCCACCAAATGGGAAATAGCAGATGTTGACAAGGCTATGGAGGATTTAGGACCCTTGTGCACTGTTGGTGGCAGCTGTGGAAAATGGTATGTTGAGTCCTAAAACAATTCAATATATAGAAATAAATGAATTCCCCAAAGTGTTGAAAGCTCTGTCTCAGAACGGGTGTTTGTACACCCACGTTCATGGCAGTGTTACTATTCACAATAGCCGAAAGGTGGAAGAAACCCAGGTGTCCATCAACAGACAAATGGGTAAAAGAAAATGTGGCCTGTATACGCAATGGAATGTTATCCAGCTTTCAAAAGAAAGTTCTGGGGCGCCTGGATGGCTCAGTAGGTTCAATGTCCTACTCTTGATTTCATCTCAGGTCATGATCCCAAGGTCATGGGATTGAGTCCCATGTTGGGCTCCACTCTGAACGAGGAGCCTGCTTGGGATTGATTCATTCATTCTCTCTCTCTCTCTCTCTCTCTCTCTCTCTCTCTCTCTCTCTCTCCCCCCCAGCCCTTCCCCCTCCCTCTAATTCTTTCCTCCTTCCTCTTTCTGCTCACATGTGCTCTCTCTCTAAAAGAAAGAAAAGTTGTGACACATGCTACAACATGTATGACCCCTGAAGACATTCACCTGAGTAAAATATACAGTCACAACAGGACAGAAACTGTGATCTTTTTAAGTGAGGTTTCAAGAGTCATCAAATTCACAGAGACAGAAAGAGAATGGTGGTTGTCCAGGGCTGGGGGAGGGGAGCAGGGACTTAGTGTTTAACGATAGAGTTTTAGTTTGGGAAAATGAAGACGTTCTGGATATGGATGGACGGTGGTGATAGTTGTACAGCCATGTGAATGTACCTAATGCCACAGAACTTACATTTAAAAGTGATTAAAATGGTAAATTTTATTACGTATATCTTACCGTGATACAAAATGGGGGCGGAAAAAAGAAAAAGAAACAGGGCTGAAATCCATTTCCCATTTCTTCCCACTTTAAGCCGTGTTGCCTCAGGGTGTCCAATGGTGGGGTTGCAGAGGGAGAAAGGCGTTTGTTTAATGAGCATCTGTTGGTTCTGCTACCTCATTTTCTCCTTGAATCTTCGCTGGAGTCTGAGATAGGCATTCGTTGTTGTCCCTGCGTCACAGTGGAGAAATGGGCTGGGAATGGTGGGCAAGAGCCCGAGACCTGGTGGAGCCGGTGCGTCAGACTGAGCTTAACCGGCCTGCACCCCTCCCCCGTACCGTGCGGCTTGGCCACTTCTGGAGTTTTTTTTCACCTGGCCTTCTCACGGCCAAGTTCTTGTCCCCCTCCCGATGCCCTTTCTGTGACCACTTGCCCATGCAGGTTGTTTATTTTCCAAGTCTGCGCTGCGGTCGCCTCTCCGCTGGAGACAAGAAATCGGTCAACAAAAGCGATAACTAAAGGCTGAACACGGTGTCTGGCCAGGAGGGTTTATCGAAACAGGACTCCTGAACAGAGAGAGGAAGGCAGGCAGCTCCTTCTTCCTGTCGGAAGCGTGGCTTGGTGGCGCTCTTACCAGGGGAGAGGACACGTGCGTCCCCCCCTTGGGCACATGGCGCTGAGGTCCCGGATGGCCATGGCCGGTGCCGCTCTGGTTTCTCTGGCCCAGCGGAGAGCTCGGACTTGCACACGTGTCTTCAGTGGTCCGCTGAGGGCCGGCTGTGGGTACTTTCTCAGACCCCTCTTTACGTGGCCTAGCTGCAGCGGTGGACGTTCTGGCCCTTCATCCTGAGGGTCTGCCTCCCTGGGATTCCCGTGACTTTTGTCTCTCGTTGCTTGTGCTTTTGGGGTCCTACCTGTGAAACCACAGCCTCGTCCACGGTCACGAAGATCTACTTCTGTTTCCTTCTTCCGGTTTGATCAGCAAGCTTTCCGTGTCAAGAACCATACAGTACATACTTTGGTTTTGTCAGCCACGAATGGTTACTTTCATATGTTCTTTGTTTTTCTTTGTTGTTGTTTTAGAGCCTTTTGACTCCGTAAAAACTGCTCTCGGGGGTGTACAGAACCAGGCTTCAGGCTGCTTTTGGCTGGGCCGTAGTTGGCTGGGGCCCATGCTGGGACTTGACTGCAGAAGGTTGAGTCACCGGAGTGAGGAGTTGAGCTGGGTTTGAGATTTCTTGTTGCTATAGTTACTTGGGCGCGCCACAGGCTCCCAAATTCCTCTGCTGTTGTCATATGCTGGGGGGCAGGGCAGAGGGTAGGGGCTGCTGAGGCGCCAGGGCGTTTGCCCAGAGTGGTCTTCCTCCATCCCCAGCCCTTCCTGCACCACCAGGGCTGGGGGCTTTCCATACCGTGTTCCTTCCCCACTGGTGCTGGTGGCAGGAGCAGGTGGGGTCTCCCTGCTGTCCTTGTCCCGCACTGTGCATCTAGGTCTGATGTTATGGGCTCCCTTGGCATCCCTTCTCCTTGCCCACGCGGCGACCTCTCTGCCCAGTACATGGTGGGCATTGTGGACGAGTGGGTTTCCAGCTCTGACAGCATTGGTACAGGATTCTGGCTGGGGACCACCTCCTGCCCTTCCCCCCACTAGAATGGGTATTTATCCCTGCCACTGTACTCTTGGCATTGGTCGCCCCTCCTCCAGAAGCTTAGGATTTTGCTTCAGAGTAGAGAAGGGTCTGCTTGGGGATGGGAGGGGAGTGTGGGGTTGGGGCTGGTGTCTTGGCTTCTTACCTTTATTTGGTGGCTGCTGACTCCCTTCCTCCATGCCTGTGCTCTGGAGGGAGGCTACCTCTGCTTCCCCCACCGCAGCCCCCTGCCCTAGTCCTGTGTGTGTATACCCCGAGAGGGTTCATGGTGAGGAGCCTACAGTGGGTGGGAACTATCTTCTGGTCTGGGTTCCTGAGGGGGTCTTTGCTATTAGTAGAGCCCCTACTCAGCCTTTAGCAATTTATTAACCTTTGGGCTAATTGCTTCCTGCCAGTTGTGTGCTGGCTGGCTCTGTACTTGTTGAGAAGATATCCCTACCCTTTACCTTCCAGAAGGGCCTTGTACCTCCTTGGCCTTCTGGCTCTGTGGTTACCCTGTGACCTCATCTCTTGATGGGTTCAAGGAAGTGTCAGGAGTTTGTAGCTGGTCAGCCTTACTGACTGTTGACCTGGGAGCTATGCTCTACCTCCTGGACAGAAGTGCCACCTTCCCCCAACCCTCTCGTCTGTATGTTGAAGTGATGCTGATTGAAATGTGTTTTTCTCTCAGAAATGCTCTAGGAACCACAGAATAATTTTGGAGCTTTTTTCCATTTGTGCATCTGGGCTGAGGGATGTTGGTGCAGACACAGGGCATCCTAGGAAAGACGGTGCAGGGGCCCAGTTTCCGAGTTGCCCAGTTGGGGTTATCTTCCCTCTTACCTGAGTGAAGCCTGCCTTCTGGAAGAAAGCCCATCAACTTGGCGATTACTAACTACCGTGTTTACATCATTTTAGACCTTGGAAGCTATCCTGAATTTCAAATACTCTGGAGGCCCGGGCCACGCTGAAGGGTATTACAGGAACCTGTCCCTGGGGCTGCACGTGGAGGCTGAGCCGTCTGTGTTCTTCACCCGAGTCACTACTCTGCCGGCGACCAGGTAAGAGGATCTCTGCGCTATGATTGCCTTCTTCTGGAATCTGACAGCACTGCATTTGGAATTCCGACCTCAGGATTCATCTTGGTCCCACCTCTAGTCAAATCCACACCACCGTGCCAAGTTGCGTAGCTTCCCTGGGACTCAGGTTTCTGTATCAGAAAAACAGGCCTTATAAGAAGTGCCTTTTCTTTAGTTGTAGTGGACGGGCTTTACACCTTGTAACGTGGCAGAATAATAACATCAACATTACAACATGCTTGCTTGTGGCCGTCATTGTACAGGACACATTTCCCACTCATGGCCCTGAGGCTGGTCCTGGCTTCAGTCCGATTCCCTCTCCTGCTAGTAGGGGTTCGGCAGGTAGCCACACGTCCTGGGGACTCCTGGAGTCTAACATCTCTTCCTGTGTCACTTCCGGCATCCCTGGAAAACAGCGTGCAGAGCCAGGCTGTCCGGGATCTCGGCACCTCCCCGTTCATGGAGTTCCCAGCCATCTAGAGCCCTGGGCTGTTTCTGCCCAGGGCGCCCATCTTGCACAGACATTTTCTCTCCAGTTTCCTCCTCCAGGCCTAGCCTTCCTCCAGGGGGAAAGAAATCAGACAGCGTGTCTATGTCAAACCCAGAAGTGGCCAGAGGTCCTAGAGGTACTCTGCTCGGAGGCAGGAGAATGACAATATCGCATCGAAAACTTTGAGAGAGAGTCGGGAGTGGTTGGTTCTGAAGGTGGTGGGTGGTATTCCATCCAACCGGGCTGCTCTTCTCAGATTCTTCCTCCAGCGGCCAGCAGCCTGTGGGAAGCAGGTGCAGATTACCACCGAGTACTTCCTATTTATTGTTATGTCCAGTGGTACCTTACATGTTGGGGTAGGATGCAGTGGGACAGTATTACTTCTTCCTCTTTTTTTTAAAGTTTATTTATTTTGAAAGAGAATGCAAGTGGGGGAGGGCAGAGCGCGGGGAGGAGAGAGAGAATCCCAAGCTGGCTTCGTGCCGTCAGCATGGAGCCCAATGCGGGGCTTGAACCCATGAACCGTGAGATGATGACCTGAGCTGAAATTGAGTCAGATGCTTAACCAGCTGAGCCCCCAGTGCCCCTAGTATTGTTTATTCTTGATAGAGTTACGGTGGCAGTGATCACAAGCACCTCTGTAGCCTTGAACTGGGAAAGAACATCACAGGCAGCAGCCCCTGCCCTCCACCCGTGGGTTCCGTGTTCCACAGAGTGAAAGAGAGGGATGTTGCTGCCCACGTTAATGTTGATAAAAAACTCCTTTTAAAGTGATACAGCCCCAAATAATAAGTGTGGTTTTGGTTTATAGGAAAGACCATTTTTCTTCCCAGCCATTGGAGAATGGCTCCGCAAGAATTAATGGCTTAGCTTGGGCTTCTTAGCATCGCATTTCATCATCTGTCACTTTTTTCAGTCCGTGGAGTAATAGTCTTTCTTGCCAAGGCTTGCCTCTGTTTTGCATTTGTTGTATAAAGCATCAAAGCACTTACCCCCGGGGAGGCTGTGACCAGGGCTGCTGCCAGATGCTGTGAGAGTATTTCAGGCCCTTCCTGTGCATTAGGGCTGCTCCGTGATGTACCTGCTGTGTTCCTTTCTCATCCTCGCATCGCCTGCTGCCACTGCTCATATAAATAGTTCTTGGAAGCAGCACAGGTTGTCACTGAGTTGGGTTTTCTCCCCCCTCTTGATACCTGGCTTCCATGTCATGGCCCCTGCAGCTCTCAATGACAATTTAAGATGACAAAAATGCTGCCATGTGGAAAGGAGCAAACACACTTGGAAAAGTCAGTGGTTAGCTCAAGTGCTCTTTGGCTCCCGATTACCCCACCCACTGATTCTACTCTTTCTTGTCAGCCGACATGGTCTTTTTCTTGCTCTCGGGATTGATCTCCTAACCTTCCCTTTCCGTTCCCGCTAAGTCTGATTCTCCCCAGATCCTGTGGATTGAACCTCTGAGACATCTCCTGACCCCCTCTGCATTCCACTGCACGTCTTGGTTACCTTTCCTTGACACTTTAGGAGTAGTTGCCTGTGTGGTCCCCCTGCCTCCAGTTTTGCTCCTGCATCATCCTGTAAATGCAGACGGATTAAAGACTTTCCCAGTACTTGGGAGATAAAGTTCAAAGTCCGTATCGTGATATTCAGAGGACTTAAAAATTTGAGCCAGACCTTTGCCTTTAGCTCTGTTTGTTCCCACTTCCTCCACACATCCAGGCGAAGACACTTTGCCTCTGTCAGCAGCACTAGGTGTATCAAGACCATTTCCTGCAACATGTCTTTGCATACATTTCTAAAACTCTTCTTAAACTGTCTTTCACCTACTCTTTTGGGAAAAGTTTGTTGGCCATTGATGATCTACTACGTCACCAGTTTTGTAAAATTTTCCTGAATGTGACTAGATAGAGTTGGTTAGTCCTTCTGTGGGCCTTGTGTTTCTAGTAAAGTACTTACCAGACTATAAGCCTTTCAACAAGTACCTTGAATGTTTCATTTATTCTTTAAATAAACAACAGTATTTCATATTTTAGATAAAGCACTCAGTGGGGTAGTAAATGGGTAGAGCCCGTCCTTGTGTTTCATCAGCCTGATAAAAGCTAATCAGGCAGAAATAATATCAAATGGAAACATGGGTCTATATTAAGGAATGTTGAATCCTAGAAATGGAAATAGCAAGTGAATAAACAGAAAAGATTCTTCCCCTTGCTTCTTAATTTCTCTAAAAGACTATTGACTATTTAAAGAAAAAATAAGAGCATATAATTTTGTTGTGCATATCATATAGAGAAGTAAAAAATATGTAACCAAAAATAGCACAAAGAAATGGAAGGGAGACGGAGGAGAGGAGGATGGCGGTTCTTACATGCTACTGTTACGATACCGTTTGAAGCTAAAATGTAGTAAGTTAAAGATGCATATTGGAAACCCTTTAGCAACCACTTAAAGTGTGGATAATAAGCCAGAAGAGAGAAAATGAGTTACTAGAAAATGCTTAGTCTGAAAAGGGGGGAAGAGGTGGCAAGTAAAGAACTAGAATCTTAATAGTCGAATAGCAATGTGGTAGACTTAAATCTAATGTACCGAGAATTATATTAAATGTAAATGGACTAAAGACTGTATTTAAAAGTGCAAGTTGTCATACTATAGTAAAACATAAAAACAAACAAACAAACAAACTAGAGACAACTACATGTTTTCTACCAGAAACTCACAATTATGTAGAGTGTATAAGTACAAATATGGGGGTGAAGATATGCCATGCAAACACTTAATCATGAGAAAGTTGGTGTGGGTATATTAATATCAAACAAGTAGACTTTGAGGAGAAAAGGGTAGGATAATTTTATTGATAGAAAGGTCGAGTCATCAAGAGTACATAAAAAGTATAAATGCAAATGTACTTAAAGCATAACTTCAAAATAAAACCAGGATCTTGGGGAGAAATAGAAAATACCAGTTATAGTTGGGTATTTTAACACCTGTATCTCAGTATTTGATAGACAAGCAGACAGAAAATTAGTAAGAATATAGGAAACATGTATACTTGTAGTAAATAATTCCAGCTAACTGATATTTGTAGGACACTAAATGCATATATTAGAAAAGATGAATGGTTCAAAAAAAGGGTGAAGAGTAGTTACCAATGAAATGGAAAATGAAAAAATAATATGTAAAGTATATGGAACTAAAAGTTGATTCTTGGAAAAGATTAATAAAATTAATAAACTATAGCCAGGATGATCAGAATTAAAAAGAGAAAGCACAAATTACTGTGAATGAATCACTATAAATTCTGTACACATTAAAATAATAAAAGTATATTATGATAAATCATATTCTGATAAATTTTACAAATGAAAAATGTTTTGAAAGACAGAAATTACTAAAGTTGACACAAGAAGAAATAGAGTCCTTGAGATAGTCCCATATCAGTTAGTTTAAATTCTTAATTAAAAACTCCCCATGAAGCAGACTTTACACTCAGATGGCTTCACTGTGAAATATATCAAACTTTTAAGGAGAAATAATACCACTTTTACAAAAATTCTTCCACAAGTAGACAAGGGAGGGAATACTTCCAATTCTCATTTTATGACACTGTCTTCACCCTGATGCCAATTGGGAGAAACATTATGAGAAAGCCAATGTTGTGATCCATGTCCTCGTATGCATAATTCTAAAAATTCAGAACCGAATACTAATAAATCCACCCTAGCAATATAAAAGAGATATGCAATATGAACAATTCAGGTTTCATCCAACAACACAAGGTTGTTTTACCATTGAAAAATCAGTGCATTTACTAACAAAATAAAGGAGAAAAATAAGATGTCAGTTGATGAAAAAAATCCTCTGACAAAATTGAACACTTATGATAGAAACTGTCCATAAACAAGGCTCGGAGGAGAACTTGTGCAGTCTGATCTGGATGATCTACAAAACCCTAAAATTATGTAGCTTAACATAATACTTAATTGGGAAAGACTGAGCACTTGTTCTGAGATCAGGACCTGTCAAGACAAGTATGTTTGCTCTTGCCAGTGTATTCATTATTTTTCTGCCATTTCTACCTAATCAGGGCGGGCAATGAGATGAGAAACGAATTAAAGCTGTAAAAATTGGAAATGAAGAACAGTTAGCAATCACATGTGTTTGCATGATACATATGATCATGTACGTAAATATTCTAAGAGATCTACCACCCTAAAGAAATTATTAGAACTAATAAGTTAACAAGATTGCAGGATGATACCATATTATATTCAGAAATCAACTATGGTTTTATACACTGGCGTATAGTAGCAATTAATTTGCAAATGAAATTTTGAAAATATTTGTATTATAGTAAAAAACATTCAACACTTAGGGATAAATCTTTTTAAAGATGATCTCTACCTTGAAAATGTCAAAGTACAGCTAAGGGAAATTAGAGAACACTTAAATAATTGGAGAGCTATACCATGCCTGTTGATTTAAAGAATCAATTATTGCT